AAAAAGGACATCTAGAACCTCGCCTTGCCACATCCCAAAATGCCCGGACACGTCAAAAATTTCTACCGCAAATTTTGCATTTGACACAATTCTTGTCATAAGCGAAGATGCCAATGATGACGTATTGTTGACACTTGATGTAGATTCTTCTTGTTTATTGTCTCCCATCTTTGACACAAATATTATTTAATAGCTGACGACACAAATCAAGATTATTTCCTTTCTGATGTAGAAGATCAGACTAAGCTGCAACCACAGAGCATACTCAGACAGAACCTTGACTCAGTTACCAAGATAAATCTTTTCTGATGTGGAAGATCAGACTATGCTGCAACCACAGAGCATACTTAGACAGTACCTTGGCTCTGATACCAATTGTTGCGGAAGCCAAATGTATATAGTGTGAATAAGTCACAACTACTATACCAAAAATTATGACAGCCACCAAATAATAAATAAGACAATAAAGCAATAATAAAGGGAACACCAGAATTTACGAGGTTCGGCTAATTTTTCCTACTCCTCGGACACAGCCAATATTTTATTCCACTCCAAAAATACAAGTGAAATAATACTAAAGAGAGAAGATACAAATGCCTTAAACAGATGAGAAGACAAATGAGAGGTGTGTCTAAATCCTAAACATTAAGCCTTCTTTTATCGGGGAAAATCCCCCCAACCCTTCTTTTCCCACCGATGTGGGACAAAATATTTTGCCAAATTCAACACTTGTGGTATAAAATGAAGCACATATATTTTGTGTGGCTATAAATCATTGTATAAATGTAAATTGTTTCCAAATATGGAAAGAGGTCATTCTTTTTGACTCTTATTAAAAAGGAAATAGATTCACATAAATTGAAACAGAGGAAGTAGTACATTTTCCGGACAATCACGAGTTTAACGTTTATACAAAAATTCGTATTTTATGATAATATTCAATATTAAAGCTTATACCAATTCATTATTTAGAAAAATATGGGGACGAAAATATTTAATTAACACACTGATAATTAAAAAATTTAAACGATTAATGTGTACGAGTTGATTTCGAAAACTATTTCTGTTTTCTTTCATTCTCACAGTGAAAGTTTCACTGTACAAAGAGCCTGCAGAGGCTCTCTAACTACTACAATTCCCAAAGCCTAGCCCCTATCCTCTACACCTTACAACCCAACCGGCTGTCTTTTTCCCTAATTACCTGAACTACCCCTACATATCTTTCCTCTGGACTATAGCATTTTCCTAACATTTAGTTACTCTTTCCTTCCCGAGACAAGTCCAATATAGGGTTACTTTAGTCCTTTCATGCATGCATACATTCATACCAAGACGAAATTCCTCTCTTCGGCCGCTAACCGCCATGTTTTCAGAGATTTTCAGCACCAAAAACAATACGCATGTCAATGACTTCACTTCCTTTTGTTAATTTTGACTCTCTCTGTCCCCAATTCTCCTTTTATATATAGAGCCATGCAGAGATCGGTAAGAAGACAAACTAATTAAGAAGATTTCTTTCTCTTAATTTCTTTTGAGTGTTTAAAATGAATGATGATAATAACAGCGTGGAAATGTTAGTATCTGAAACTCCAGTAGGATCCAGGTGGAATCCAACAAAGGAACAAATTGATTTGCTTGAGAGCATATACAGGCAAGGGATTAGGACACCAAGTGCTGAGCAGATACAGCAGATTACTTTGAGATTAAGGGCTTTTGGTCATATTGAGGGAAAGAATGTCTTTTATTGGTTTCAAAATCACAAGGCAAGGCAACGCCAGAAACAGAAGCAAGATAAATTTGCTTATTTCAATCGCTTTCTTCATAGGACGAATGTTTTTCCACCACCTCGCCCAAATGGTTCGTACTTTCTTCTTTTACCCTTATTAAGTCTATTCATATATAGTTACTTTAAATTATTTGTTTAATTTTAAATAAATAGTCTGTTAGGATATGTACTTTCTGTAGGAAGGCTGTATCCTTTCTGACGACCAATTTGTCTACATTTTAGATTTTATGTTTGCTTTTCTGGGAAGTTTTCAGTTTGTGAGCATATATTTTCTTCTAGCATTTTGCTGCCTTCACTTCTCTTATCACGCCAACTATTAGTCCCCACCGGGAAACTTGTTTTTCTCTGTCAAGATGATTCTTATGACGATTAAAAAATTCAAGAGAGCTGGGACTATTTCTGAGTTTAATTTCTCTGACGTGTATATAATTTTTACACGTATTCCAAAAGATAACTACATATTGTTCTTAATAAGTGGAATTAGGTGGTATTTACACATCATGCCCCTTTACAAAGAAAAATGCTAATTAATTACCTGCTATAACATGTTAAGTTTGTTTTTTTAATATTATCAGTGTACGTATACGTTAAATCTATAGAGTGATCCTCATTAATTATTATGTTTCCAGTTGTTTGCAGCCCTTATTACACGCCACAAAACAATCTAGGGTTTTATCAGCAGTATCCAGTTCCCAGTCTTATCCTCCCGGGACCAGGTGGTTTCAAAAGGAGAGCAACGTGTGATGCTGCTGTATTCATCAATGCTACTTATTCGCAAGAAAATAGCAACAACATGGCACATCTCAGCCCAAATGAAAAGCAATTTAATCATCAAGAAACTTTGAATCTTTTTCCGCTGCACCCAACTGGGATTTTACAAGAAAAGACTACAAGCTCCTCTTCTCCTTCTGCTCATGATCAGTCGACTATTCCTAGTAATTATACTCCTTCAAATTTAGCGGAAGCAAACTGTTTTACTGATCTTGGAATTGGTGCTGGTGATCATCAAGTCTTTAACTTCTTTTGTGGAAAGGGTCCTTGTGAGAGCCAGTATTGAGAATTTTTTTGGGATATTTTGCTGTGTTTCCATCTGGTTGGGTTCTGCTTCGTGTTTTGTGTTGATCTCAAAGAGTATATGTGAGCATATCCATCTGAACAACGCAATATATTGTGAATTTAATAGTAATTTCCTTGTGGAAAGGATATGACCTCTCTTTTTTATTTCTCTACCTTCATCGTTTCATCTCATCACAGTGTTATTTCTCTTGATTTCATTGTATGGTATGGTTTTATGGAGGTCGTATAATTTGAATCTGAAATCCCCTATAAGGCGGTGAACTGAATTCTAGATTTAGACTTTTCGAAATAAAATTGTAGTTTGCCGTACTTATCGTCTAATTTTATTCTAGTTGCAGTTTCACGAGAATAATAAGTAGTAGTACCTTGTTGAGCTGCTTCCTCCCATTTTCTAGAATTTAATTTAGGCTTGGTCAAAGCTATTCTTATTGCTTTATCTGTTGTAAAATTTCTCCAAGTAAACTAAGGGCTTGTTTAGAAAGCTACTTTAATTTGTAATTGGATTGAATGTAATTGAATATAACTATATAGTTTGATACGTTTATCTAACCTAATAATTTCACGGAACAGACTGTAATTGAGAAGGGACAATTTCACTCTATTCTCAATTGCATAGTGACTTTTCTTTTCTTCTATTTATAGGGATAATGCATAAAATCCTCTCCGGCCTATGATCATATTACCAATTGCACACATATTCTTATTGGGGTCCTATTACCCCCCTTGATCTTTTTTTTTTCTCTAGAATTTCTTTAACCCTATACGTTTCATTAAATTTGGATGATTTAATATAACGACCCGGCCGGTCAATTTTGAATATTTTAGTCCCGATCCCCTAATTTATGCTTCCTCTATGTTATATTGTAGTTACGTGACTCACCGGAGTGTTTGGTTTTTGTTTCGAGTGAGTTTCGGAGAGTAATGGGATACATAGTCCCTAAGATGGAAGGTTAAGTCGTAGGAATTAACCGTAGTTTGACTTGTCAGAAGAAGACTCCGGAATGGAGTTTTGATGATTCTAATAACTTCATATGGTGATTTTGGTCTTAGGAGAGCATACAAATGTTGATTTAGAGGTCCGTAGGTCGTTTCTACGTGATTTGACGAAAGTTGAAAATTGGTGGAATTTGAGAAGTTTGACCGGGAGTGGACTCTCTTGATATAGGGGTCGAATCCTGATTTCGAAAGTTGAAATAGGCCCGTAAGGTTAATTATGACTTGTGTGCAAAATTTGGGGTCAATCGAAGCTTTTTTGGTATGAATCGGCTTTGGTTTCGGAATTTGGAAGTTCATAAGTTCTTAGGCTTGAATCGATGCACGATTCATGATTCAAATATTGTTTGATGTGATTTGATACTTCGAGCTTGTTCCACTACAAGAAAATAGTCCTTTAGCGAAAGGAAATCTGGTCGTTAAAAGTCCAAATCCGGTTGTTATAAGTTAATAACGACTAGAAAAAATTTGGTCGTCACCGGTCGATAAAAGCCCCGACGTTAAAAGATAATGACCGGATTACAAAGCGGTCGTTAAAGATCCTTTAGCGACGACATAAGTTCCGGTCATTATACCTCCTTTTTAATGACATGATTTTTCGTTCGTTAAATTTTTATCCAGTCATTAAAAGCCGTTAATGACAACAACTAATTTAGTCATTGGAAGTTCTTTTAGCGAGCGATATTCCCTTCGTTATTTGTAGTACTTTTAAGAACCAAATTTACCATTGTTAGTTCCCATTTGTCTGTTTGAGAAACCTATCATTAAAGAGTTTCAATGACCATATTTTTCTTAGCTAATGTAAAATTGTACTAAATATAAGTACAAAAATTTAAATTAGATGTATAACCACATTCTAAATGTCCCGACCCAATTTAGGATCATGACCGATGCTTAGGATCAAGTGCCCCTAAGTATGCCTCATCGGTATTTACAGAAAATCGGACAGAGTTTTTCCTATTTTAGGACTATCCAAAAGTTTACCCTATCTCAAAAATCAGCAATAAAACCAACCTATATCGACCAAATATCTTATAATCTTCATCAACTAATCAAAAAGTTATTCACCACTATTAATCAATCATTTGCAATACGGTAAACCTTAACTTCATCTCCAAAATACTATAACAGAATCTAATACTAGTCATGGGTCTAATAATGAGCGAACACTCATGACACTAATAAAATAAATATGGAGCGACTCTAAGAGTTCAAAAGGAGAGAACATAATAAATAAATAAATTCTTCTCCCACGCGAACAAATGCGGGGCTCACCAGAAACTATCAACTCGTGTAATTTAATTAACGAAATCCTTGCTCGCGTCAACTGTTATCTATGTAAAAAAATAGCGGGGAGTGAGTCGCTAGCTTAATGAGTAATAACACTTAACCACAACCATTTTTAATTGGGGACAAGTAAGAAAACATGCTAGTATATTAAACAGAAAATATCATAAGAATAACCTTTCAGAAACAATAACCAATAATCAGTCTCACCATGTGTTTCATGTAATATAAATCAATTGACAATTCGATAATATGCTCGGTAACGGTAGTCACTACTCAAGGAAAATCGGTAACTGTATGTTAGTTCTACCTTCCCACTAGCGAGGGCTATAACTGTACTCTGTAATCGGTAAATACAAGGTGCACCAGGTCTAACGAACCCTCCGTTAGCTACGGGATCCTTCAAAGTCTACTCCCATTTATACTTGTCTCTGTATCTGTATATACTCATAGGAAAATATTGTAAAACAATATAGGGTACTTTGGTTCTTATCAAATCATATAATTTCATTTAGATAACAGTAAATTCAAGCAACGGTAAAACATATCTAGTGACAACAAAAATATTTAAAACAACAGTAATCATCTCAAATAACTATTTCGGTATCATATCGAGTAAAAGACTTGTCCCACAACAACTTAAAATAATCAATAACATATTCATATAAAAAAACCATGTGTAAATCATGCAAGTTATGAAAACACAAATTGCGGTAAGATTACTACTCATAATACTCATGTCGAATTACCAAACGCTTCACCTCAAGCAATCTGTACAACTTCCTCCGATCAATCTCTTTTGCGGTTTTTTTTATCCCAAAAACTTCCAAATCGTAGACTTTGCTTTCTTGTTCAAGCTTTAAGCAGATAAAGCAATGCTCTGCATCTCTTTCCCCAAACTCCATCACGAATTACTGTCGTAGTAAAGCACCCAAATTGAAGCCCGTTTTCTTTCTTAATTGTCAAGGTTGTAACCTATGTGTTATCCGTGTAGCGTACTGCTTCCTTTACTTTAATCTTACTATTGCTAATAGAGATTTTTTCATTCCTATACACTATTTGAAACTTTATTACCCTTAATGTTCATATTTAGTTAATTACACGGCATAAACAAGTTTTGTTTACGAAATATATATAATCCACCTTAAATAAGGCGTTGCACATCACCGTGCAATGCGAGGATTATTTTATCACCAGGGTCCTGATCGATGGAGGGTCCAGCCTCAACATTTGTCCGCTTGTAACACTCAAAACATTAGGGAAAGGGCTGGATGAGATCAAAGACGGGGCCATTAACGTCAAAGCCTTCGACGGTTCCTAAAGGTCCACTATTGGGGAAATCAGCCTGTGTTTACAGATGGGGCCTACTTGGTTTGATGTCGACTTTCAAGTAATAGACTTGCCGGCATCTTACAACTTGCTCTTAGGACGACCATGGATTCATGCCGTTGGAGCTGTAGCATCAACCCTACATCAGGCAGTGAAATTTGAGTGGAATCACCAAGAGGTGATCATCCACAGTGATGGTAGCAATCCCACATACAGTCGCCAGACCATCCCAGCGACCGGAGGGAGAAGGAAGATAGGCGGAGAAACCTATCACCACAACGAGCGAGTCAACGCCGTTCACAAGGATAAATGGCGGGACAACAAAATCGAAAGCATATTGAACTGGTGCGGATATGAGCCAGGCAAGGGACTTGGCAAAAACCTCCAAGGAATCGCTAAGCCTGTCAAACTAAAGAAATATGGCACCGCCTTCGGCCTGGGATACAAGTACACCTGGAAAGAGTTCAATGACTGGTCTCCGCCATGGTGCGGGCCTTATTATCCACTAGAGCATCTGATACCTCGCTTGGAGTAGATTTTCAAGCTAGCTGATGTTATATATGGGTCAAAAGAAGAGGAAGCCCTGGCAGCGATGAGGGATTTGTTTTTGGAAGAGGATGACATGGATTGCTGTGTCATTTTCGAGGAGGAGGGGGAGGAAGGCCCTTCCATACAAGCCGTGAGCCGAGGAGCGCGCCTCAACAATTGGTCCATCAGAACCACCAGAGCCTGGAAAGCCTCCAAGTAGCAAGGCTGAACAAGCATCATGCACTATTTTTCATTTTTACTAGTTGAATTTCCTTTTGCCTTTTAATTTCTCAAAAAGATCTTCAATGTTCAAAACAGTTATGGAATTTTTCAAAGCATTTTGATTTTTTCTTATGAATCTTACTCTTATTACTTTCTCTCATTTACTTTATTTACAGTATTACTATTGCTTATCTTGATGAACCAACGACTATGACATGTAATGAGACAACGCGACAAACGGACTTAGAGGAAGATGATATACCAGAAGAGGTTGTTAAAGAGGTTTAGGATTTTGAAAACAGACTTAAGTCCAACCTGGACGAGACCGAGATTGTTAACCTGGGAGATGCAGAAAATGTCAAAGAAACTCGGATTAGCGTTCATTTGTCACCGGCATAAAAGGAATAATGCACAAAATTTCTGAAGGAATATGAGGACATATACACCTGGTCGTATGATGACATGACTGGTTTGAGTACATCTATTGTGGCGCACAAGCTGCCAACTGATCCGACATGCCCACCGGTAAAACAGAAGCTCAGGAAGTTCAAGCCTTACATGAGTTTGAAAATCAAGGAAGAATTCACCAAGCAAGTCAAAGCTAAGGTTCTCAGAGTAGTAGAGTATCCAACATGGTTAGCCAACATCGTGCCAGTACCAAAGAAGGACAGGAAGGTCAGAGTCTGTGTTGACTACCGAGACCTCAATCGGACCAGTCCCAAAGATGACTTCCCCTTGCCAAACATACACATTCTAATTGACAACTGCGCCAAGCACGAGCTGCAGTCGTTTGTTGA